GAAAGGAATCACCTTTGAAACAAAAGCCCCATTCCCGGAGCAAATGAACCAAACACTCCCAGCAGCTGACCCCAAACTCCAAGCATATCCCCCCACCGCGCCTCCTCCTCCTCGCTCCCATTCCAGTCACCGACTGCTGGCCAATGGCTCTGGGGTCCAATCCAACCGACCACAGCGTGCACCCCTCAAATTCCAGCCCTCAGGGGAGGCTGAGGCAGGACAATCCAGAGTCCCAAGCCAGCCCGGCTACACTGAGTTCAAGAGGAAAGCAAACCTGGCCCTCAGGTGTGGCCGGCGGGCTCTGCTAGGTTTTCGCAGCCCGTTTGGCTCCGTTTCCGGGGAACACAAGGGTCCCAGCCCCCGGCCCTCGTGGAACCGGCCCCACCCACGTCGGGCGCAGCCGCTGTCCCAGGCGCAGGAGCCGCCTGTCCCCGATGTGCCCGGGAAGCAGCCCTTTCTCGGGAAGCAATCCCGTCAGCGCGGGGCCGACCCCACGCAGGCCCGGCTGGGCACACTGTCCCGCGGCCCCGCCCCAGGCCTCGCACCTCCTTTTTTTTTTTAAAGATACCAAAGTTCTTATAAGCAAGATGACTAATGCTTCTCGCTGTTTTTGAGGACTACTCTGAGCAAGTCCCCAAGCCCACAGGAAAAGAAAAGGCACATTTTTGGGTTTGTCTGATTTTTGAGACAGGGTCTCGCTGTGTACCCCAGGCTGCCCTCTAAGGCGCGGTGACCCTCCTGCCTCGGCCTCCCGGGTGTCGGGGAAAGAGCGAGCTTTTAAGTCCGCGGGCCTCCTGGAGAGGCCGACGCACGCAGAGGTCCGGGGAGGGTTCCCCGCCCTGCACCCCGGGTCTGGGCTCGGGTCGGGAGCCGCCCGCCGTCCCCACTCACACGCGCGCCGCGGGGCAGGGCGCCGGGCCCCAGGGACAGCCGGGCTGCGCCTGCACGAAGCTCTCGCTGCCGTCCAGCACCGCGCAGCTCACGTCCCTCGTCACGATGTGCGCGCAGCGGTTCCTGCGGGGCAGAGGGCGGGTGGGCCAGGGCTGGCGAGGGGGCGCGCGCCCGCGATCCCCGCTCCGGAGGCTGAGGCAGGAGGATGCGAGTTCAAGCCCAGCCTCTCGTCTCCGAAAGGAAAACGTTAACAGGGCCCGGGATGCGGCTCAGGGCAGAGGCCCTGCGCTCGGCCCCCCGAAGAAGAAAGAAAAGTAGAGGAAAAGAGACTAGGAGAGCGTGCAGGCCCCGCGCCCGGCCGCCGGGGATGGGGCGGGGACGGGGCAGGGACGGGGGCGCCGTCCTCACCCGCGCCCCGGCTGCGGGCCGCCCAAGCTCAGTCCCGCGCCGCCCAACGCCGCGAGCAGCAGCAGCGCCGGGGGCCGCATCCTCGCTCTCCACGCCCGCTCTGCCCGCGCCCGCTTTATGCCCGGCGCAGTGCGCAGCGCGCGCTCCAGCGGCACGGGTCGGGCGCGGCTCCTCCTTCGGCCCCGCCCACGCCGGGCGGCACCCCCACTCCCGCCCCGGGGTGGAGCGGGGACCGCGGGGTGGGGGTGGCGCGTGACCGACCCCACGTGCGGAAGCCGCGCTGCCAACGTGCGACCGGGACACTGTCCGCAGGGGGACCGAGAGCCTCGCTTCTGAACTTCCCTTTCCCTTTGGTTTGTTGGGAGCATCTCGTGGAGCCCAGGCTGGCCTTGAACTCGCAGCGACCCTCCTGCCTCGGCCTCCCGAGTGCTGGGAGTGCAGGCGTGCGCCACCACGCCCGGGGGAACTTCTTTCCTTTCCTCTGAAATCAGGGTGAATGGTGATCACCCGCAGCCTGGCCTGCTTGTCCCCCCTTCGGTGTTGGGGTTCAGACCAGCCCGCACAGGCCGGGCCTTGGACTGGGAGCGGCTGGACAGCCACTGCCCCTGCGCACTGCTTTGCCTGTGGTGCTGGGGATTGAACCCAGGGCTGAGCGCTGAGCCCCGAGCCCCGAGCCCCGAGCCCCAAGCCCCACGCCAGGTGTTTTAAAGTGTCACTTAAGTCTCAGAGTGGCCCCGGCTGGGCTGAACTTGTGGTCCTCCTGCCTTAGCCTCCCAGAGTGCTGATTCCAGGCACCTGCCGCGCTGCCCGCCTTGGCTCTGGAGGGAGGAAAAAGCCACCTGCTTCCAGCCAGGATGTTCCAGCCGGGAGCCCGCGCACCGGGCCAGGGCAGCCTGTGCCCCACCGAGTCCGAGCTCCCAGCCCGCCGGGCCGCAGCAGCCGGAGGCTGGGATCCGCGCTCGCACACTGGCGACTTTGTCCCTGTCGCCCAGAGACGCTGCTGCGGGTGGGGCTTTCCTAGCCCGCACGCTGAGTTCGTTTGGCTGCATAAGAAGCCGAGGTGGCTTCGAGTACACGGGAAGCTGGGCGCGGTGGTGCCCGCCTGCCTTCCCGGCACTGGGAGGCTGAGGCAGGAGGATGCAAAGCTCAAGCTCAGCCTGGGCAACTTAAAGATTTGGATCCTGTCATAAAAAATAAAAAATGTCTGGGTTCAATCCCCAGTACAAGAAAAAAAAGAAAGACGAAGGAAGGGGAGAAAGCCCTGTCGGCTGGGGTCTGTTTGGATTTCTCTTCCCATTTCCCGTCCTGGGTGTGGACCCCAGGCCTCACACACCAGGCAGGTGCTCACCACTGAGCCTCTCTGCAGCCAGGACTGGGTCTTCAATCAGCTTTCGTTGCAAACACATTCCTAAGGCAGTGAGGACATCTTTCATTCTTTTTCTTTTTTGTTTTTTGAGACAGGGTCTCCCTGTGCAGCCCAGGCTGGTCTCGAACTCCACGCGATCCTCCTGCCTCAGCCTCCGGAGTGCTGGGGTTGTGTCACCACGCCCGGCCTCAGTCTATTCCGGAAGTCGGTTCAGCAGCCGAGGCTTTTAGTTGATGGAGCTGTGTTTCTCTTTCCCCAGCGGCAGGGTCTGAGCCCGGGGCTCTGCCACTGAGCTGCACACACCCCTTTTTATCATCCAGTTCTGACACAGTCTCACTAACTTGTCCAGACTGGCCTCAAATTTGTGATCCTCCTGCCTCAGCCTCCTGAGTAGCTAGGACCACAGGCATGTACCACAGTAGCTGGCTCAAGCTGCATATCGGAATGGGCTTTCCTGGGCTCTGGACTCTTGGATTGAAGCACTTAAACACTAAGAATCAGAGGCATTTCCTAGGCCACTGAGACGCTCATCCCAGAGATGAATGAACGCAGCAGTGGGGCGCTCTGCTCTCCTTCATGCTCCGGGCTGGCTGGCACATTTATGCAGTGCGCAGCCCTGAGAGTTGGCCATGAGTGGCCCGAAATCTAAGTCCCACTGGCATCTCAGAACATTTTTTTTAAATAAAAAAACTTGGGCCGGAGATTTAGCTCAGTGGTTTGCCACCTGCCTCACAAGCACAAGGTCCCGAGTTCGATCGCCGGTAGGTACCTAGATAGATAGATAGATAAATAAATAATAAAAAATTAAAACCCTAAAACCTTGCAGATAAGACCTTCCAGGCAGGTAGGAGTCCTCGGAGCCTCTGGTCAGTGGAAAATACGAAGCAAGTCTGTCGCGGGCCAGAAGGAAAGTGGTCTTCGGTTTCACTCTCACAAGTTTGTTCCCAACTTTTAAAAATATCAAAGCAGAGTATTTTGCTTCCTGCCTGGCCCAGGCTGTGATCTCCAAAGGGCTGAGGCCGAGGTGGTGTGGGATCCCAGAGAAACGAGGGCCCAGGAGGGCCCGGGGCTCAGCTTCCGTCTCCTCCCTTCCCTCGGGACCTGGGCCCGCACCGCTGGAGGAAATGAGGAGGCGGCACTCCGTGCGCTCATCTACATTGTTTTGTACTAAAATGGCTTCATTGCAGGCTTTTGTTTGGTTTGGTTTCTTGGGACAAGGCCTCACTGTGGAACTCAGGGCGATCCTCCTGCCTCAGCCTCCTGAGATCTGGGATCATAGGCCGCACCCCACAGCCTCCTGGGGGCAGCGCTGACCAGAGCCCCGGGGGGAGGGGCTCACAGGACGGAGGCTCCGTGGCTGCAGCCAGGGGCACTCGAGAGGGGACTGCAAATTCCGGGCCTCTGCTTCCGGCTCCTCACCCCTCCTGCATCGCTCGTTCCCTTCCTATTACAGGAAGGCCTCTCTCCCTGCTTCCTGTGAGCTCTTTTATTTTGCTCTTTAATTATAATTCGAGTTTCTTTATAAGAGAAAGCACGTGACATTGAAGCTGGTGTCTGACTGATCTCACTGTCACGGTACATCCATTGTCCCACACGACTCGAGCTCATCCTTCTTCGTGGCAGAGTAGTGCTCCACTGTCTGTGACTACCACCCTGTCTTCATCCTTTCACCCGGCATTCCGAAGCTATGCTGCTGTAAACATGGCTTTTGGGATTATATTTAGTTTTGAGACAGGGTCTGGCCAAGTTACTAAGCTGCCCAAGCTGAGCTCGAATCTGAGATCCTCCTGCCTCAGCTTCCAAGTGCTGGGACTGTAGGCATGCGCCCCTGCACCCGGCTTGGCTCGGTTTCTCCTGAAACGCAGTTCCCCTGGGAGGGCCTGGGGGATTCTGACTCCTCTCTGGTTCCTCCAGGATTCCAGGGTAGGACGGCAGGAGGCGCCCAGGGACTTGGCATGGTCAGGCCCCAGATCCTCATACTGCAGGCAGGCCAGGACCAGGACCTGGCTGGGGGCCTCTGCTCCGTCCTCAGCACTGCAGGGAAAAAGACAACAGAGCAGAGCCGGGGTCCGGAACTGGAGAAACCGGCAGATTCGCTTGGCCTGTGGGGAAAGCCCGCTTCAGAAGCAAGCCCTGAAGTCAGGCACATGGCCTACTCAGGAAGCTGAGGCAGGAGGGCTGCAGCCTGGCAGTTCAAGGTCTGCCTGGCCAACACAGGGAGACCCTGCCTTGGAGGAAAGGAGAAAAAGGCTGTTAGATCCGGAAACACATGAGCAAGGAAAGCCACTCTCAGGCCCTGCACCCTCAGCCACACAGGGATGGCAGGGGCCCCTCTGCCCGAAGCCCCAGCGAGGCCCACAGGCCACTCTCGGACCCCACCCAGCCCTCAGAGGTGGCTGCACAGAGCTGCTCGGGAATTTGTAGCAGGAGAGCTGGGTATGGTGGCACCAAAGGGAGGCTGAGGCAGGAAGATCACTGCACATCCACACCCAGCCTGGACTGCACCCAGGTATCCGTCATTGAAGGAGCTACTCTTTTATCAGCTGCCAGGACTTCCGACACAGGGGCCAGGCAGAGCGGCTTCTGGCGGCTTCTGCAGCACAGCGCGGCGGTTTTGCTACAGATTCCTCATTCACTAGCCACCTAGTCACAGGCACCGAGCTCCGTTGTTAAATGAGGGACGGCTGCAGTGAGTTCGAGGCTGGCCTGGACTACACAGCGAGACCCCAGGCTCAAATAAAAGAAATCAAAGCAGAAAGAGCCAGGCCGCCTCTGCCTCCCCACAAGTCAGGGTCTTGCTGTTCCCCCCAGGCCGGCCTTGGACTTGGAGTCGGAGAGAGCCTCTTGTCTCAGCCTCCTGAGCAGCTAGGGATGCAGCCAGGAGCTCGGCCTTTTCTTTTCAAAGGACTGCTCGGCTGTCAGTGGCAGAAAACCAGACCAACAGGGAGGACAAGCCCGAGCTCCGTTGTTCCCCTTATCAAGGGGTCCGGCCCGGGCGTCAGGGCTGGTGCCCCTTTTATTTTTCCTCTAACCGTCTCATGTTCGTTTGTCTGTCTGTTTTGTTTGTGTACTAGGGACTGAAATCCCCAGCCCTTTAAAATTTTTATAAACTTTGAGACAGGGTCTCACTATGTCACTAAATTGCCCAGGCCTGGCTCTAACTTGTGATCCTCCTGCCTCAGCCTCCCAGAGTGCTGGGATTAGGGCGTCAGGGGACCGAAGTCCTCTCCTGTTGACAGCGCGGCTCTGGTCGCCTGGAGCCCAGGCACACGGGTGTGTGTGTGTGTCGCATACACTCAGGCCTTCGTCAAAGAGCAAAGTACCCAGCACGTGTACGTGCGCACGCACACACGCACGTACGCACGCACGTCGTTTGCACAGTATACTCGGTGAACTCCTACCTGCCCTTCATCGCCCAGAGCCAAGCTGCGGGCACCCGGTGAGTCCGCATCTACAGCCGGCCGCGCGGACGCCAGGAGAAAGAACGGGTCAGAGCTGAGCCGCCTCGGACTCCCGCGGCTGCGCAGAGCTCCCGGCCCTACTGGGCATGCTCAGGCAGACAGTCTCACTGTCAGATTATCCAGGAGGAGCAGAGGTTTTGAAGATTGCAGTAACAAGCTGGGTGGGAGCTGCACGCTTGTAGTCCCAGCACTCTGAGCGGCTGAGGCAGGAGGATCACAGGTTTGAGCTCAGCCTGGGCAACTTGTGAGGGCAACCCTGTCTCAAAATAAAAAATAAAAAGGGCTGGGGATGCAGCTCAGAGAGAAGA